AAGCTTTCGTGACTGCAGGAATCCATACTCTCTTTGGTTCTTTCGGTAAAGTCACGTAGGTATAAAAATAAAATAGAATAAATCACGACGTTTCGGGCACAACACAAGCGTCCATCATCAGGTGGGAAAGCATGGTCTGCTGCTGATGCAGACTGTTTTAAAGGTTTGAAATGGGTGTAGCCCAAGGGTTATAAAGGAGTAGCTGGGTCGAGTGATGTTAATGTGAAAAATTAGCATGTAACTGGGTACGGAAGTGGCTATGTTAATGTCAGAGATTAGCATGATGTTAAAGTGAGAAATCAGCATGTAACTGGGCACGGAAGTAGCTATGATAATGTGAGAGATTAGCATGATGTTAAAGTGAGAAATTAGCATGTAACTGTAAGTTAATCTTTGATTTTCTTTGCAAGTTACTGCTAGTTATTACTTTTAAAGATGTTTTCTAATCCAGAAACTGTCAAGTGTGCTTTTAAGAGCAGCACAATAATAGCGGAATGGCATTGTGAGAGGCATACTATTTGTTTCATAGCTGACTCCGATTTAAAAGAAATGTGCCTATGATGTCAACGTCGTACATTGCACCACCAGTGGATATTGTGAGAATTAAAATAACCATTAGTGTTGTTGTGGATAACAATGGTGAGCCACTTGGTCAAAACGTTCCAGAATTTGCTCGCATTTAATTAATGCTGCTGAAATTATGCACTCCCAGAAGGCTGTGAGGCTCATGGGTTGTGTAAAAAACTTGTTTGTATTTGGAGGGACAGATGTATGATATAAGCGTGTTTATTGTGTTACTTCTGTTCTCTGCCTGATTATTTAGAGTTCTTCGTGAAAATGTTGGCTTGTCAGCTTTGTTGCTTAATTAAAACAAACAGTAGCTTTTGTATTTGATTTGAAGCTTTCGTGACTGCAGGAATTACTCTTTGGTTCTTTCGGTAAAGTCACGTGACGTTACCGAAAGAACCAAGGAGCTGTACAGTAAAACCTTGGATTGCGAGTAACTTGGTCTGCGAGTGTTTTGCAAGACGAGCAAAATTTTTAAATAAATATTAATTTGATAAACGAGCGAGGTCTTGCAATACGAGTAGAAGTATACGCTTTGTCTGCCGAGCGTCACGTGATCACAACTGATATACGAGTGCTTTGATATACGAGTGCTTTGATATACGAGTGCTTTGGATTACAAACACGTTTCCGGAACGAATTATGCTCACAATCCAAGATTTTACTGTATTAGCAACTCGTACGTTTTATGGCTTGCCTTACTTTGTTGCCACTTGTCTGTAAATTCTAAGAAAAAAATACTGGGTCATCTGTGACCTTATGGAGATTAGCCCTCTTAATCTGTCAACATGCCACAAAAATCATGCATCTTAACATGAGAATCACGCTTGTTTTTTTTAATACCATTTTATATAACAACCATATTTGAGAAAATAAGGTTAAATTCTTACTGATAGCAGCTTAAAATGAAGCCCTTAATTCCTCCATTTCAGGTCCATATGCATGTATTATCTTCATTGATGCTGAAAAGGTGTCCAAAAAGTATGCTCAGTATTATTTTTGCCCCCTTTTTGTCAAAGGGCAAATGGAGTTATGGCCAATATAATGGTATACGTTTCCCCTCCTCTGGTGTGTATTTATGCAGTGAGCCTGAAGTAATGAGGTCATACCAAGAGGGTGGCCAATCTTTCCCCCCCTCCAACGATCCCAACCTGACAGCGCGGCTAGACAGCCCCTGCCGTGTGTGGGAACAAAGGCTTGTGCATTTCAGTCTCTCGCTTTGCTGCAGGGCTGACTGAGGGCTCGCACCCACTCATACGGGACCGTCCCTCCTAAGGCTACCCCACCACTACTATCTCACTCATGAATCCCATTCCCTAGACCCCCAGCTGGATGGGTCAGGAACCCACACCCCAGGACAAATGTGCGTTTCAGAGCCTTGTCACGCTCAAGAGACACATTCGGCTAATTAAATGACTCCTGCTTTTTGTTTCAGGCTTGGGTCACGTGTGTTGTGCGCAGACTTTGCTTCTATCCGTGCCCGTCCCTTGCACTGTCTTTTTGTGTACAACACTCGGCCTTTGTGCAGAGAGTTCATGAAAACAACACATCATTGTTGCACACACAGGCCTGGAGTTGTTGCGCATTCTTGAATTAGCACTTGAAGCTGTGAACAGGGTTCTGGGGTTTTCGACTTCTGGGTGGGCACTGTGTCTCTTAGTGATGTAGCATTCTTGCCATCTCTAATCATGTGCTAGCTTCCAGAATGACTTTTTCAGGCCACCACTATTTTTCTGATTTCTTGCACCTCTAAGGTCTATACCCAATTCACTGGCATTGGTTATGGTAATTGATGTATGTCTGTTAAATGATGTTGAAAAGAAGTTAACATTACTATCGAAATAGCACAAGTATGTAACTAAGCCATGTGAAGGTTTGTCTTTATAAATTTAAACTTTAAGTATAGTCTTGAAGGCATGAAAACAATTTTCTTGCTGAAGAATTCAATGTAAACTCATCCATATTTTAGGAGCCGTTAAGTGAATGCATCACTTCCAGTCACCATCTATAGCAGGAACAATAATAAACAAGCATTTTTCACCTTAAGAACAATGATGTATTGCAAAGACCGCACCTTTAAAAACGGGACGCCAACTACCTTTGCTTCCTTGTTCAAAAATTATAATAATCTGATAATGATGGGAGGAGACCTTAATCATTGATTTTTCCTGGCTACCAATTTGTATTGAGTTCACATTTCTTTACAAATAACCTAGCCTTTGAACCATCTTGGCATTTGTTTTCAAATAAAATTGGACTTTGTTCCACTAAAAAGTAGATTTATATATAGATGTATTCCCATAAAAGCATTTAATGGGACACATGAAGAATACAGAAAATGTTAGGATTTATTTATTTTACTCTAAACATATCAGTGTGTACTTATCTGTTGAATTAATGGCTATAAGTAAACAAATAGTTTTTTTAAAATATGAATTATTTTATTTTATTCAGGAAAGCTGTTTTTAGTCTCAACTGTCAGAAAAGTCCTGTAATATAATGCCTGGCCAATCCCTTAGCATGTATTTTTCTTATTGATTTTATTTTTTATCAAAGTGGATTACATGTCAGTGGATTATTTATCTTTTATAAGTGCATTTTGAACATAATGTATTAACGTAGGACAACTGAGTAATATATCATGAATACTTCTGTGCAATTCTTTAAACTTATTTTATTTTTCCAGCCAACATGTTACTGTACAAACCTTTAGAAGATTATTTTGGTAAGGCCCCTAACTCTTGCAGCAGCGATATCCCACTGTTACACCTAATTTCTCAACGGGCATTTATAAAAACATTGTGAAATTATAAATGAGTCTGTACTCTGACTTTCTTTGTGTATTTATTCACTGAAAAAACATATAAGAAATGGACAACCTATTCATCTGCTATGACAAATGTTGTTATCCCGTTCGGTTAAATCTGTGGGTGTATCCCTGCACGGCAGCCTACGTTGCCGACACTTAAGAATGTGTGACCTAAAGGGCCATTGCATTGCTGCAGGGGCCTCCTACACAGGCACACAGATGGTAGCAGATGCCAAAAAGTGACGTCTGCAGCAGGTGCAGGCGCTCTCCTGTTTCTAGATTAATATGCCCTTTGCAGTGCCTGCCCACTCACACGCAAACGGTGCATGCTAGGAGAGTCATGCTTAGCCTTTGCATGTTACTAGAGCACAACGTCAATACTGATGGTAGTCTTAACAGAGGGGCTGCCATCTGCTTCAGAAAGGTGACTCATGTTGATGAGTTGTCAAGGGTTCAGACATTACGCACCACCTGGCAGGTTTCGGGAGTGGTGTTTTGATTGAATTTCTAGCCTAACGCAGAGGTTCTCATCCCGTGGGTCAGGGGCACGTGGTTGTGTGGCATGGATACCGTGCAGAATACATTTTGAAAAAAGGGTTCGGTAGCCTGTCGGCTCTGGTGTGTTACTACACTGTATTCTACACTTGATCAAGATTGAGCCTCAAATGGAATACATCAGTATCCAAACACTTGTGTAGACTTGTATGCAGCCATTGCCACAACTGTATGTTATATAATTTCTTGACTTTGATATAACGTCTGCAGCAGCTGCCACCATTTCAAGTTTTAACCTATGTATGTTGAACTTCATTGGTGGCTCTTGGCAAAAACTACCTTCAACCAACAAGTGGCACAGACATTTTGATTTAAAGCATTCGTGACTGCAGGGATTCATATTCTTGGTTGTTTCGGTAAAGTCACGTAGAAGGGAAATAATAATTCGGTAAAGTCACGTAGAAGGGAAATAATAATAAAAAATAATATTATTTCCCTTCTACGTGACTTTACCGAAAGAACCAAGCATATGGCACAGACATGTTTCCTTCCAAAAGTTGACGGATTCTTTCCAATAATATTTTTTTTCTTTTAAGCTAGCATAAGAGGCGTGATGGACTATTAAAAAATAAACAATTATAAGAAAAAGTAAGTGGGCTTGGGCAGGACAAATCGTGAGGAGGGATGATGGTCAATGGTGAGGACTTACGATGGAGTGGCAGCCAAAATAGTGGACATGCCTGAGAAGATGTCCACTGCAATTTTATTGCTAAGCTCCATCGATCAATAGAGTGGTATAAGTGGATAATAGATACATACATTTTCAATTGTGCTCTGCTTATTATGGCAATCGGCATCAGATGTTTCTCGGTCTGCGTGCATGTGTGTTTTTTTCAGGCTGGCCTCTATCTTCGGCCAGCCGTCTTCGTTTACCTTGCCTACAATAGCAGCTACCCACACATGACGTGCCTTCACACTCTCAAACCTGACTCCTCGCTGAGTACATTCTTTCAACGGGGGGGATGTGTTAATGAAGAGGAGGTGCTGTATATAGTAGTTTCACAATGCCGGTTATTTGCTTGGCAGTGGTATGAATGTGCTGACCACTGCCGTCTGCTTGCTCTCACAGGAATTGTCCGTGGTCGCGTCCGAGTCACCCACTGAACATGCGCGCAGGGTCTTCAAGAGCTTTGACCCGGAAGGTGAGTGAGCTTTCTTCCCACTGTGACGAGCCCTGGGTGCATGCGTGTCAGCCCAACTGTTATATTTTCTATTTTAAACCAGTTTGGGGGACACTTGAGTGTTCGCGTTGGCCATTTTGGGCACCAAGACTGTTTACTGGCTTTGACCTGGGTCCTATTTCAAAGGACACATCAGCCATGCTCAAAAGCATGAAAGAGCTCACAATAAGTGACTTGTAGGTATAACTGGTAGGGTATGTGGGTCATTAACTTGCTAATATTGGTTTGAGGTTCTTGCCTATATTGTCATGTAACATACCAGTGTATCAATTATAAACAAAATATTTTGAATGCAATTCTTTATCTATTGTGGTCTATTTACGATGGCCCATAGAAGCATAATACTTGTTGGAACACAGACAGCAGCAAAGAAGCATCGGCTTTCACCTGCTAGTGGCAAATATTAGTTAATATTTATCATATGTTCTGAAAGCCTGGTTGAAGTAGTGTGAGGGGTGATTTTGGCATGGTAATTGCCCAACTTTTCCTGATAAGTAAGGCAAGTTGCAGACCACAGAGCCTAAAGATTTTCAGATAACCATAATGAGACATGCTCATTCCAAGAAAACTCCAGGGTCTCTGTTTAACAGGTTGTGCTGCTGCTGTTCATTGCGATTGGGATCAGACATGTTTCATGTTTTAAGTGCATTGGCGTTGTGTGCAGCTGGTCGGGCAGTTTGCACTGCTGTGGTATGTATGTAGAGCGCAGTCTGTAACTTCACGCTTAATTGCCAACAAAGCTACCTGTGTGGTCCTCTCAACAGTGGTTACAAGTGAGACTCTGGCCATAGGCTAACATGCATTAAAGTGAGATGGAGCTATTCTTTGGTTCTTTCGGTAAAGTCACGTATAAAGAGAAAATAATAAATTAAATAAATGTAATACTTTCTTATTTTATATTTATACGTGACTTTACCGAAAGAACCAAAGAGTAATTCCTGCAGTCACGAAAGCTCCAAATTAAGTTTGAGATGGAGCTGTGCGGCAGGCGTGCGTTCTGTAGACTACAAACAAGCACACTCATTGCTTAAGAATGACAAAGGTTCACCTCAGATTTTACAAAATTGGTTCTTATAAAGCTCTCATGATGCCAAAATATACACTTTCACTGTTCGTAATGGTGTCTATTTTTAGCATTTTTATTATTCATACTCTACCCAGTGTAATTGCTCACATTATTAAATGCTGCTCGTAATATTGTGCCTATCCATTATTAAATAAATCATGCGTACTTGTATGTTCATTTAACACATATATACAAACTTTTTGGGTCTTTCGGTAAAGTCACGTAGATAGAATATATTTATTTATTACTCGCGTAGATAGAAAAATAATAAATATATATTATAAATCTCCCTATATATAAAAGGAAAAGTTGTGATTATGTGTCTGTTCAAAATGTTTAGCGTACTTCCCGACATGCAACAAACTTGAAATTTGCCATGTGGGTACTTTCCAGACTGTAAACCATGCAAAAATTTTGAAAATACACTTTTTTGGGGGGGGGCAGGGGAGAGCTCAATAATGCATATATATTTTGCACGGCAAGTGAGCTGTGACGTCAAATCTGTCACGTGACCCGCGCATGTGGAAGCGTAGTGTAGTGGTTAGCGCGCTGCGCTACGAACCCGGCGACCCGAGTTCGATCCCAGCTCACGGTCACCACCGGTCACGATTATTTCAACCGGTCCTAGGCCTCCCCTAGGTCGACTCAGCCTCAAAACGAGTAACTGCTGTGGTGTGTGAACATCGCCACTGGGGAGACAAAGGCGGCCGGGTGTGGTGGATCCAAGTCCTGGGCGAAGCCGGGTAGTACAGCTAGTATTATTATAATTATAAATATAATAAATATTATTCTACCAGCTAATAAATATAATTTTTCTATCTACGTGACTTTACCGAAAGACCCAAAGAGTATGAATTCCTGCAGTGACGAAAGCTTTAAGTCAACATAAAAACAAACCAAGATTTCCACAAGCGCTCAAACCTCTGCTTATCTCTGCTTCAGCATTTTGATTCCAATGCATCCTCAAACAATATTCCAAGGTGTACAGTGCATGATATATAGTAAGAATATAAGTCAATATAATGTTATGTTATCGTCATGGGTAATTCTTTGCTATTTTACTGAATTATTACCAGTAATAACTTATTTAAACGCATCTTTGTAGAATCCACTTTTACTATTCATCTATTATTTTAAAATAATTCCCGAGCAAGACAGTGGGTGTATAAAAGTTAAATATCATGTCACAGTTCCCCAACATGGCTGTAGGGATCATGGGTGACACATATTCAAATGAAATGTTTTAGTCGTCGTATAACTTTAACCTTTGACATGAACGGACTACAGTCCCAAGTGAGACGTTGTCATGCGCCATCCCTAAAAATGCTGTCAAGATTGGTCACAGTCAAATAGATGCCAGATAAGAGTGATTTAAAAGGTAGTTGTAGAGCTTAGGTGGTTGTTCAATCCTGCCACTTTCCAAATTAAACGTTTTAAAGTTCTGCAACCAAATTGTCATTTTTTATTGAAATAATATTTTCACGCTTCGCTTGCGACAACAGTTGTTGATCTTGAGTTGCCTTTCACCTAGTTTATGAATGAATATCGATGTTCTCTCTCACTGCCTTGTGATTTTTTTTCATTAAATAATTCCCACTAATACACAGATCATAGTGATACAGTTTCAAGCTTTTCATACAGCATTTTTAATTCATGTAATCCAGTGTAATTCCTGTTTTTTCCGCTCACTAAATGGCATTTAGATGTCTTACTGTGGGCAATCCAAAACATCTGGCTTTCTACTTGCGATGAGCCAATCAGCTGATGTCAGTATGTCAAGGGACATGAAGCATGGAGGTGCAATCAGAGGTGGCATTTGCGTTACCCCTGAGCGCAAGTTAAACAGTATCCGTCAGAGCAATTTGCTGCAATGTAAGCTGACCCTGCGTGCTTTGATTTTCATTGCGAAGAGATCGCCTTTTTGTCATGGACCTGTGGAGCATATGACAAATCTAGTTTGTATCCTATATCAGCGTTTAAAGCTGGTGATCTCATTGTGCAAGGAAACACTAGATTTGTGTGTGCATGTACTGTAAAACACACTCTCTCCTATCTTGATTTGAAGCTTTCGTGACTGCAGGAATCCATACTCTTTGGTTCTTTCGGTAAAGTGACGTAGGTAGAAAAATAATAGATCACGACGTTTCGATCGCAACATAAGCTATTGTCATCAGGTGGGACAACCACAGCAAGAACTACGACAGCAGTGCACTCTCTCCTAATTGACGTTCTTTCTTCCTGATCGACAATTAGAATTTATGCTGCATGCAATGTATTTGGGGTTGAACAATGGTGAGCACACATGAACCCAATTTCTATTGATAAGAATCAAACTGAATTGTCCTGATCCCAGGCCCCTTTCATAAAGTATGGGCATAAGAGCCCCCAGGATCAACATAGCAAAGGGAATATTTCATGAAGCAGTTTAGTAACAAACGCTAGAATTAATTAAATGTTTTAAGTAATTGTGATTGGTTGATTTGATGCCTTAACAAGCACTGTATTTTTTTCCTAGGTTTGGAAAAGTTATAAATAGATTGATTGTAATTATATATCTAGTGTAAATGTTACACACATGTTTTTGCATGTGCTGTAAAACATGAGATCTTTTGATTGCCAAAAAAATGTAAGCACAATTTTTTCGTTATGACAGTTTTTTGTGATATTCTTTCACATTAGCAATGTTTTTTAAGGTAGCCATTTAAGGTATTTTCAGTCCAATTTAACACCATTGCCAGTCACTTTAGTGATAAAGACAATTCCTTGCCCATTACTTGATGCAGTTGTTCAAGTACTAAGTCTAGACTTGCCATTGTGTAAGCATACATCTCGAGTGATGTGTTGTGCTGATACGTGCATTGTTGTAAAATGAATAAACTACGTAAAAACACAATTTAATATATATCAACACTGCTAATAATTACCCATTATGCACGAGAAGCACAAAAACATGACTGTTGTGTCTTCTTCGTTCTTTCGGTAAAGTCACGTAGAAGGGAAATAATAAAATAAAACAAAATAAAATACAATTCTCACTATTGTATTTACAATTGTGACTTTTCCGAAAGAACCAAGAAGATGAATCCATGCAGTCACGAAAGCTTTAAATCGAAATATGACTGTTGTGTTTGAGGCTACAGCAGATTGAGCCTATAGTAAAACTACTAATCCAAACTCCATTGGATTCAAAAGTGCAAACAAGCTTGATCTTAGATTTTTTAATGTGTTTGATTTGTGCATGTGTGTGGGCATCAATCAAAAAGTCACATTTGTTTGGTTTTAATGAGGGATATTGACTCAACAAAGCATATTTTTCCCATTTCAGTGAAGTATTTTTATTCCAGTGTTTTCAAAAAGAATATCTGAGATTGGGTGCGCATTGCAACTAAAGTTGAATTAACTTTGGCTTGTTTTGATTTTGGGAAGAAAAAAACAAGTCCAGTTAGGTATAAAACATCGAGAATACATTTATGTGAATGTTGTTAAATCTATGGGATAAACAAAAAGTGTTGGTGGTTTTCAACAAGGGCATAATAGCATAGCTGGAACAAGCAGGTTTGTCTCATTGCATGGTGCATGATATGAAAACTAATATTTCAGCAACTAGTTTTAATGTTTACCCACGTACATTTGTAATCGTTATTGGTATCTGTTTCCCACAAAAACTACCGAAACACCCCCTGTATCTTCGGTCAATTCACCCTCGACTATTTTTCTCTATTCATTTACCAACAACTGTATTTGGGAGATATACTGAATGTTTGATTAACACTGCACTTTTCCAACAGTTACTTGCCTAACAAGATGCTGTTTGGGATGTGTGTCTTGAATCTGCTTAGACAATGGCTTCATCCTGGACTCTATGCTTGAGGATCTTATGAAAACCCTGGATCTCTTTGCCGACCCTGAGTAGTAAGTGACTTCCATACAGAGGATTTTGTTAACACAGGTGGGCTTGCCAATTGATGCCAAATGGTTGAGCCAACAATGCTTTTTCTACCAATGTGAATGACCTGATTGTGCTGTCAGGTACAAAACAAGGGTGTGTTTGGATCAATTACAGTGCTTGAAACGCATTACTTTACCTCTCCATTCTAATTTTATATTATCAATCAGACTTTTAAGCTAGTCGTGTGTGATTTATGTCTTGAATAATTTGTTAGGGCCGGTTAGCTACGATACAAATATCTAAAAACAGTACCATGGCAGTCTTGGGAATGTTTTTCATTTAACTTTGTAAAACGTTATTGTGTAAAATTAGCATTGGCGTTTAGAAACCAGTTACTTCGAAATCAACAAAATATTTCATGACTCAGTTCATGCATTGCGGTGAGGTTAAACTTTGAGCCTCGAACCTATGACTACTAAATTTTTTAATTCATCATGCAGTTGCTGCCAGATTTATCATAGCAATTCAGAAACACAATGAGCACGTTTTAACCCTGAGGTTTCTGGGGCAAGTCATGGGTGTTTCCTGTATTTATTATGAAAGTTTCTTCACCAGACATGTTATTTCCTGAGACATTTTTATTTATTTGCAGTCTATTCAAAGTAAGACTTGGCTGATCTTTTGAAATTGAAGTATTACATAGTGGCAATAGTTGATTTTGGATAACAAATGTAATTTTACACGTCCACATTCATAAGGTGGGGCATCTCAACCTGGGATCACGTGAACACGATGGACAGAAATTAATTATACTTATGTAGTCTTGGGGCCAGCAAGCCACACTTGATGAGCATAGTGAAGTATGGTCAAACAACCCCTGAGACCAACATGCCATTCGTCCGTTTGTCGATTAACAAGTGGGTTGAAACATTTTTAACAGTTACTTCTATAGTAACGTGTAAAGCCCATGTAAGGTGGTGTATATATATGAAGCTGTTCCTAACACGTATCTGTAGACATGAAGAGAAACACTTTTAAATAATCCTCAACTGCAACATTTTAACAGTAAACATCTTATTTTTTGCATTTTGGAATAATACCACAATTACAGGCAAATAAAGAAGACATAAATAATGATATTTTTATACTAACATAGTAAAACTTTTAACAACCAACTTTGCCATTTTTTGCATTTCTGAACAACTATTCCCCCTCGAATAGTGCATTCCAAGAGCTCCATTGCGGATGTAAATATTTGGGTTCATGGCCACACCCATGCTACTTATAAACTTTACGCGCTTATCTCATCTCACTACAATTTTCAACCACATTATTTGAGTCTACTGTAGGTGGTCACACATTCACATGTTATGTAACCATCCATAGCCCTGTGCTATTTTAAGAGTTGACAGATGCTTTGTTTCCAAATGTCATACCTGCATGGCCATGCTCTGCTGCACGCGAGAAGTGATTCCATTAAAGGCTTTAGGTAGATTAGGCTGCAAGTGCATCTTGAATATTGTTTCCATGCTGCACAGCAAGGAAGCAAAAATAGTGAGATGCAGCCGACTATATGGTGGGTTTCCAGTACAGCAGAGATGGCTCTTTGAATCTGCATGGCTGCAAATCTGCCCCGTTTCCTCGTGGGGAAGCCTGAGTTTTAAAACTGTCATCCTGAAAAGAAAAAACGTGTCATCCACTATGTGAAATGTAGCTTGGAAACCAGAATGTTTTTAGTTCTCATTTGCAATTGTAGAGTGTAAAAGTAGCATTACTTGGGGCTCCTTGCAGGACCTGCGCACAGATAATGTTTACACTCGTGGTTCCCCTCTAGATACAGTAAATATAAACTCTTCTGGACACTGGGGTGAGTGACCTCATCTGATAATTATTTCAGGCAGCAAGTGCAGCATTCTAGAACACAATTACATTCACTGTTTGCAGCCGAGCCACGTCGTGACCGAGATAAAAAGTGGATTTTATAATCGGTTATATACATGTGAAGAAAAAACATTACTTTTAAATAAAGTTCTCATGGAATTATTATAGGTAGCCTAACAGTCGAGACATATTTTTAGATTTAGCACATGCAATAATCAAGATTCCTTCTCACATTCAAGGTACAATAGAGCACGTGTCACAACTTGAGGGTCTATTGGAATTCCTTATTGCCTTATCAAGGGTTATCTGGAATACTGTAATGATATGAGACCAGTTGTTAGTTTTGGTTTCTGGGATTTTTCCCATTCACGATTGAGGCTATAAATAAAAGCATTGTCCAGTTCCCCTTAAGCGCCAAAAACTCGCGTGTGGAAGGGAAACAGCAAGATCGATGTCACTGGAAAAACCAGTTGAGTAACTTTATCAGAGCATACCAACACTGCTGAGATGAGGTGAACGTCCACCAAGGAGATGGAGTGATCGGATTGTGTGCCGGCATTTGATGAGAAATTGCAATGTCTTGTGGATACATTCTTTCAGCAGTGGATTGCTTATGACCAATGATAATGCTGATGAGAGTAAACACATAATTAAACGCACTAATAGTAAACAAAAAGCTAGTATTTGCAATATAGTTAATATTCAAATAGTTAACGTTAAAATACACAAGTTTATAATATGTATTTAATTCTCTTTGTTTTTTTTCGGTAATTCACGTAGGTGAAAAAATAAAATGAATGAAAACAACTAAATTAAATCACGACGTTGATGCAGACAGTCTGCATTAGCAGCAGACTATGCTTTCCCACCTGATGACGGACGCTTATGTTGCACCCGAAACGTGATTTAATTTAGTTTTCATTTATTTTATTTTTTCACCTACGTGACTTTACCGAAAAAAACAAAGAGTATGAATCCTTGCAGTCACGAAAGCTTCAAATCTAGAATGTGTTTAATTGGTGATGCATGCCTGTAATGCAGAAATGTAGAGGTGATGGTGGGCATCAAGGTGCCATAACTCTGGCTTGTCAGGAGAATGTGCTCCAGCAAAGTGTGGACTAATATCATCATCTGTCGCTCCTGTATGAGATAGTGTTGCTCTCTCGCACACGTTGGTATTCAGTGGGTGCTCCAGCTTTTTTTCCCCCACATGCAAAAACATGTATTGGCTGAAAACACCATCATATATCGAGGACTATACCGTTTGGGCATTCCAGCCTACCTGGTTCCTCATCGTTGTGATATGCAATTTGCATATATCACGCAATATATAAAACTTAACATAATACACGTTAAGTCAATGTAGCAGATTTGTGTGAATACAATTATGTCGGTCTGACTTCATGAGCATAGGCATTGGCTGTATCCTCTAGCACTCTACCAAAAAGCTTACCTAAATAAATACCTGGTGTACCTAAACCATGCTGGGCAGGTACAAACGACAATGACATTGGCAAATGAGGCGGCAATGCCGTTTCATTGTGCGGTTGCACTGCAGATTGGGGGACTTGGAGACACTGGTTTCTGCAGTGCTGTAGCGCTGCTATTTCCACCTAGAGAGCGTCAGCATTGCAAGTAAAACATTTGTATAAAACGCCCTTATAACACTGGAACGATAAGACTTCCTCTTGCGAGTGATAGCACAAGTTATATTGTTACCCTACAATTGGTGATACAATTTCCTATTGACGCACATACAGGTGAGCGCAGGGATTACTCTGTGAGCTCCTTGGTAACTGGCTTGGAGTGATTTGGTGAACAGTTGCGCTAAGAGAGAAGCATTAAACAGCACATCCTTTCTTTTTACACTTCAGAAATGAATATTCACAAGGTTCATTCGTGCATGCCCATCAATAGATGCTATAAGCAATAGCGTTGCTTTTCTGAAAACAAGCAAAAGCTCTGAGGTTGTGAGTGTACATGTTTGAAGGAAACATCTGCATATGGCTGTCAAGATAATAATCCCACAGAATTTCATGGTTGCCCCACATTGCATGTGTGCTAATTGCTGGGCAGAATCCCAGGAAGATGGCGTAAACAACAACAAACTGTAAAAAAAAATACTTCTATGTAAAAAAAATACAGAACCATCACACTAATATGCCACATGGGGAAGATACTAATGATAGGACTATTAAACCGATTAAAAGCGCATACTGAGGATTATTTGGCGGATGAACAAGCATAGTTTATGAAAGATAGGAACACAGTACAGCACATCTTAATGTTAAAGCTCATACAGAAAGCAAAGAGAAAGAAATAGGCTGGTTTATAGCTCTCATAGATTTCCAGACAGCATTCAATTTGACTAAGATAAATATAACGTGGGCAGCATTAAGATTATACAGAGTAGGGAAATGACTGACAGATTCTGCAGGATATAGGTGAAAGTTCGAAGTCAACGGCACATGAATATCCGCAAGGAGCAAGAATACAAATCCTGAGATTCGCAGATGACATAGGTCTGATGGAAGAAAGCTGCATACTACTGCAGGAAAGTGTTCATAAGCCGAATAAGTCGGGAAAGGATGCAGGACTGAAGATTAACGTGGAAAAGACAAAAACGATGGTGTTCGAAAGGGAGGACATTGAGAAATAAGTAGTAATAGAAAGCAGCCATGTAAACGAATTTGTATACTTGGGAAGTCTACTGACATGGGGGACAACAACTTCACGAAAGACCCTAAGAGCGAAGATCACAAAGGGAAAAGGAGTAATGGTAGGATTAAATATCACCTGGAGAAGCAAGCGAATCAGCAACAAAATCAAATGAATAATCTTAAGAATATGCCTGTTCAGTACCATTTTGTATGCCTGCAAGACTTGAACATTGAAAAAGACTGACAAGAGTTAAGATCGCCATTACAAATGTATTGCATCTAAACTGAACCCAAAGAGTGACCAATGTAGAAGTGTGAAAAATGTTGCGCATAGTAGACCTGATGCAGGCAGTGATGAGAAATGAAACTGCGACTATTTGGGCACATATGTAGGATGGACAACAACAGGAAAATGTAAAGTGTGTTGTTTGGGAAAATGGAAGGAGAGGAAGACCTAACAATTCTTAAGCACATTGGGAAAAAAAAATGACGGAATGTGCAGTGGACATGTATGGGCTATCTGGCCATGGATCGTGATGATGATACTGGTGCCTACTTTAGTCATATAAAGTAACACATGGACAAATTGGTACTGATAACATTCCAAAAATATTGGTGTTGAAAAATATGTTAACAATGGCAGTTATGGTGCTGTGTTTGGTATTGGCTGATTATACACTGTGTAACAATTTTGTCTCGTTCCTTGGTAGTAAGTGTTATATTCCAATTTCTTATGCCTCAAAAGTACAGAGAATGGCTATTATTCCCCACAAACTTTGCTTTTGTGACCAGGACAGTGATATTTTGAAATGTACATATTTTCAATGAGACGTGTGCATTTGTGTCATTCCTTCACGTAAAGTCCTGGTCACAAAAGCAAAGTTTTTGTGGAATAATAGCCATTTTCTATACATTTGAGGCATAAGCAATTAGAAAATAACACTTACTACCCAGGAACAAAAATCGTGTTGCATAGTGTTACACAAAGTTACATTGTTTGTGCTTGCATGTTTACTATGATGAACAATAATGTCATAGTTATTGTACATGATATGGTGTTTAAATGTACTTACTTATTGACTTGGGTTCAGTTTCTGAAAAGGCTGGAAAGCAATTGCAAGTCTAGAAAGAATGTTCTCTGTGCTTGTATATTTACAGTGTCAACATTATGAAGACAAAGCTGGACCCTGAGGGCCTGGGGCTGATACTACTGGGTCCATTTATCTTGGAGTTCTTTCCAGAGCAGGTACCATTGAATATAATTTACATTGGGACTGTTAAACATCAGTCCCATTAATTCATTAACCGACGATTCTGTATTTCAAAATGTTTATTCTTAAGATGTAGGAGCAACATGCCACTTTTTGACAATCATTGCCCAGATTGTTTAACTTGTGGGAGAATGTTTTTAACTGCAATGCAGTCACTCAAACATTGCATGAAAGATTCAAATAATTACATTTACATTTATAATTTCACAATTAAGCTAAACTTTATAAAGATGACATTCTAGATTAAACCTTATAACTGTACACTTTTGCCGTGTTTCATTTACTATAATCCCTCAAAGTTTTCCTTGCAATAAAGACTGAATGGGATTTCTCGAGGTATAATAAAGGTGACAAGAAATTTCATAGAATGCTACCACAGAATGTCTTGCTTCTGGTATCCCATGCTGTGCACTGCTATTCAGTTGCAAGGAATTTAGGTATTCAAGCTAAAAGTAGCTTCCATGTTCTTTATTAATCGCCTTACCATCCATTGTGTTCGACCAAGTGAAATATTATGTTAGTGTGCACCAGCATGCTGATTCAGGTTTGCTCTTTTACAGGAAGTGAATATTCCTGAGTCATTTACAGTTTACCACTACAATGGTCTGCGGCACTCTTGTCCCAAGGAGAAGGTAAATATTTTTTATCTAACCCACGCATGTGAGTTGTGGAATATTGCTTTTTAAGGAGTTATCAGTGGCATCGCATCAACGTTCGATTCACCACAAAGCGGTATTGATTCTATCAACTCCAAACCAGTATTTGAACTCTTACAAAGTGACTCCGAGCCATCATTGGACATTGGCATCATCCGAGAGGGAGACACTTGAACTTCAAATGTGCGTGCTCTATTTGTCTGAAACCTTAACAGTTTCTCTTTTGCCTCCATGCTCCCCTCCTATAGGTGAGCTACACGGAGGGCACGGCCATGGTGATGGGCTTCCATGAGGCCGGCCTCTCCACAGACGACACGCCCGTCAAGAGCTGCCTGCAGACCAAGTGGCCTTATCTCGAGCTGCTCTGGTCCACAGCCCGGGCACCCTCGTTAAACTAACCAGTGTGTATGTGTGTGTGGCCCAGTGAGTTTTCAAGCATTAAAGCAGTATTTGAAGTGGGTTTCCCTACCTAGAAGTGACCTTGGACAGCTCTAACTTTAGGAGAAGTGCAGGAAGGTACTGTTTATTCCACTAAGATTTTGATTTGGAATTTTTCACCAGTTGATATTGGCAAAAACAAAGCATTCGGCACAGAGTAAGGCATTTTGAAATCCCCTGTGACAATATAACCTTACGGTAAGCTGTGTTACAACCATCAAGTGGCATTGCAGGTCTTCATTCAGTGATCTTCAATGGTCTGTCTTGTACAACCCTAATATTCTTTCTTGTGCTGTGCAAAAGTCTAAGCTGAGACCATCAAAACCACACGTGAGAACCTGAGGGGGCCTCAGGATTTTATCCCAGGATTCCAGGAGTACTAGCTAAGCAATGTCACATGGTAATAGTGTTAACTTCCAAATCACCCATCAACATCAGTAAAATGTCTTGAATTATAAATGAAAACAAACAAAAATGTGCGTAAATGCACATGCTTGACCTCACTAATGCTATTAACCCACTTTATTTACTGCTTATGATGGACAGAACATATGGACGCGCTTGGTAAATATCCCACTCCCTCCACGATAGCAGATCAGCCTCCGTGTCAGGCCATCACTGTGGCCTTGACACACGTGTTCAGTCCCTTGTCCGCTCCCAGCATCACCCACTACCTCATGGGCAGGGTTCAGGTGATTGGGATAATTATGCCCTCCATTTGAAGGCACACAAACGTAGCACCTTCTTGATAAGTAGTGAAACAATATTCCAGTTGTTTAAGACCACCTGTGGCTTCAATATTTATTTAGAGGTTTTTTTTGGAACATTTTGCTTTAATCAGAAAAAAAAATATTACCAGGACTATTGAAAATTTTAAGGGATTATTTTCAGTTTTTATGTGTACATGTATTTTTTTGATTGACACTACACTGATGAAATTGCTGCCACTGTCCACCACACTACCTATCCATCTTAGCCTGGAAATTAACAATCATTTTTAAACATAGCCAAAAAACAAGGTAATTACATGTTTTGAAAACAAATCTTCAATACCAGTTTAGCGTAAAACAAAATAAGTTGCTTGCAAATGCTTCACCCCTTCATCAAGAGTAAGCCTTTTATGTTGCAGTTAATTTAAACTGTACCAACACACTTTGTCTTAGCCTGTGCATTTTGTGCATGTTAGGCATGCATATAGGTTAAGCTATTTACACCCATAAACCTGTTAATACATACCCCTTTTTTAAATTAACGGACCATTTTAGTAAAGCGTATTTCCGAGTTGCATTGCAGTCCGTTTAACTAGAGACGCCTTGTTCTGTGTGCCACGTGTGCAACGGAAATGAGGCCTTGCGTACAAGTGTCGTGCGTTAACCCAAAGTGGCTTATATTATATTTGAACGTCATTGGGATGCTACCCCACGTGGGGTTGGTCGAAAGTGTTGTGTGAGAAGCACAAGTGCTCGTCATGCATATCGACTTGGGATCAAGCCATAGGCACAGCCCAGGAGATGTGTTGCAACAACACGCTCACCCACAGTGAGATTGCACATCGCTGTGGTCTGCTGAGGGGGTCAAGCATTGGCTTCTCTGTTGTAATTATTCCACGTGCTGTTGACGCATTCACGTATACCTTGAATATTCCATGTGCATTCCCCTTTGTGATTTGATGTATTTATATATGTGTGTGTTAAGGAAGGAGCAATTGTAATCCGTATCAAAAACTAAAAGAACAAGAAAACCAGTAAGCAAGCTATCGGATGTTTTTTTATTTGTTTGTTAACAGCAAGTAGTCAATAGGCTGCTGACGTCTTGTACAAATATGGACCACACCGTGAATTCAGTAGCTTATCAAACAAACCAGCAGTGATTGCAATGTTGGACCGTTTTATGAGTCCAGTTCTCCTTTGTGCTTTCGAAGAGGCACACTATCACCCAATGAACACGTGGTGTTGTGTATTCAGTGAAATCAACTATGCCTTTGCCTGCCTTTCGCTTCTGGCATGGCCCAGGTGTATTTTTATTTAACGTAATTGGCTTTAGCAGCTGTAAAATGGAATGTGGTGGTGTGTGGTGGTGTATGGCGATTCAGAGTTACAAATCCTTACTTTAATGACTGTCATCAGTAAAATATGAGAAGCATTTTGGGATAGCATAACACTTCACTGAAACACCCATTGAATAAGAAACTGGTTTAATAAGGCGTTATATGTTGAGTTTGTCAATGGATGTTTTGCTTTAATTTAAGCAAGTATTAGTTTATACACATACATTTATTAATAACAATGCAATGGAAGGTATTTCAAGTGATTTGAGAATAGTGGCCCAATGTATGTGTTTACACGCATTTGACAGCTACAGAGTTGATGCATATTCTAAAATTACACTTTGTGCATTAATTTGAATTTCAGGCCATTATAAAATAAGATCGGCAGGTACATAGTTTTAAAATCAGGGGTGGGGAACGTCCGGCCCGCGGGCCGTACAAGGCCCACAAAATCATTTGGTGTGGCCCTGCCAAGGCAACTGCAGGCGGGACTCGAAATTCAATAAATCTAGGAGCAAACCTGGAAAAGCAGTTGCGTGTAGCAACATTATCAACACCAGCTAACATCACACGCCTCGCCAAAGACAAGCAGTTCCAGCCATCGCATTAGGGGTGAGTTAATTAAATGTTTGACCAAATTTAACGGGCTAATTTTTAAGTTGATAATTTTGTATGGCCCGCGAATGATGTTATAAATATATCAATGGCACTTGGCAGAAAAAGGTTCCCCGCCCTTGTTTTAAATGCTTAAACAATGCTTTCGTTACAATGTGTCGCACAGCAATAGAGGTTAACAGAAAGTGTGTGTGCAGTCATCTCATTTGAGCATATTAAGCTGCAGCCTTCGTTTTTTCACCAATAAACCATACATGTTTTGTGACCAGCACTGATTTGAGTATTGTTCTCCCCCAGGCTTAACTCTTAACACATTTTTTGTTTAAGCAGAACAGATGTTGACCCTATTATGAATAATTTGAGAGGCACAGTGTATATCATCAAAGCCTTGATAAACAAGCAGTCTCGTTTGCTCGCAATTTTTTTTCAATCTGCAAATCAATCATCTACATTTCGCTGAGCACATATGAACGACTCGAAGTCTCCCTGCTCTTAAAACGAGCGATGCGGTGGTGGGTCATCTCCATTGGTTGCTTTGAGCTCCTGGTGTAAGTTCCACATTTCCTTGGTGGGGGGCAGTCTCAAGGACACCGTAAAATTAAATTAATATTAAATAAGTATGAGCTCGTCATCCAGGAAATGTGTTTAACATTGCTCAGAAGGATGCAACCAGAATTAGGTACAAGTGTGACTTGCATCGTCTTAATTGCTAATTTAAATTCCCACAGCGCATATATTTATCTGTGTTTTATGTATATATATTTTTGTCCTTAAAAGTAATGTGTTTGCACATGTTTTTCCATCACAAGTAGAGCAACTTTTGTGTTTAATAAAAGCAGTGTTCATGGATGAACATTTCTGATGGTTTTATTTACGTTTAGGTCTGAAAATTGCGAGTTATGCAAATAATCATGGCAGAATAATAATTGGCACGTTTAATCGGTGCATGTCAAGATTACATTTAAGTTAAGCCAATATGTCCGAAAAAATGCCAATTAGTCCGTGTATATCGCCTGCTGTGAGATGGATCAGGTAACTAGACATTGACAATTGAAATGGAACAAAATATTTATGTTATCAAAGCAGCGTGGAGATAATTGCGGCAGAAGGTTGCTTCACAGTTGGGATCATGAGGTTTTTTAAGTGTACATTTCAGTCTGGGTCATGTGCTTTTCTTATGGTGAGATTAGACTGCTGCAGACAATGCATAAAAGCTAAGTGAAGACACTTAATGTTATAACATGTACTTGTAGATTCTTGCAGGTTTCATTTTCAGGTACTATATTGGTGGCATGTGCTTTAAGAGGACTTCGGTAGACCGGCCCATTGCGGCCAACTCGCATTTGAATCTGGATTGTTCCTATTCTAATTAGGCACTGGAAAAGAACAGCTGTTCATGCTGGACTTACGGTAGCACCCACATATTAATCTCCCACAGGCCTTGAACATTCCCAGCATCAGGTGGTAGATGTGCATTATTTAAATGAGCATGCTATACAAGCGTACATTAGCTTTGATTGCATTGGAACCGTGTTCGCTTGTGGTACGGTATATTTTAAAAATTACGCGTGGAAATTATGTGTTTTAGAATGAAGTTGGCCCAAGTATTGCCAGCCATTAAGAGTGTGCATGTGTGCTTAAACAAAGTACAGCCACACCTGCACAGGCGTCTAAAAGTGGCACTGGTACATTTCCTTTAACAACAAATGTATCACGAAAATAGCCCTTACAACTCATAATTATTTACCTCCAAGTGGCACTTGATCATGCACACTGGGTAAAATAGTGGTTAAACATTCTTAGCCAACGAATTATTTTCCAAACTGAAATGCAAGGTTTTCATGTATTATAACGCTTGCCTTTTAAGGTGCGTGAATAAATCAAGTGGTGTATGTTACCAAGTACTAAATACATGATAATATCCCTGAAACAGCCTGTACATTGTATACACTCGAAGAAAACGCATTTGGAAAATATATTCAAGTGCTCTCAGTCATGTACAAATTCCAAATTAAAATTAACTTTTAATTGTAGGCCTATCGGGTCAATTGTAAGGAGGCAGATTAAATATATTAGGTAATACAATTCGGTTTCATATATTAACGCAGACCTTCATGTCATTTGAGAGCCGATGGATATACTCTCTTAAGTGGAAACCGAAGAAAAAAGACCAGAACTGGTACAAAGCATTGTACAATTTAAGCAGCACAGTTATACTGGTAGGAACCTCCTGGCTATACCAGCCCACAGGGGATTATTGTGTCCGTCCATCGTGCATGGTGGGGCTGGGTGGGGTGGGGCTGGGTGGGGAGGGGCTGGGTGGGGTGGGGCTGGGTGGGGGGTGGGAGGGGTGGGGCTGAGTGGGGAGGGGCTGGTCACCCCGTGGTACCCTTATAAAACTCAACGTTTAACCTACTCACGCCGGCTTGTGCCTGCCCTCACAGTCGGCCATATTTGCGGAATACACCACGCCGCCGTTGACCCTGGCCATTGACCGAGCAACCCAACGTTCCTACCAGCTCCCTCCGCAGGAATGTGTTATTCTGCGGTGATACACAGATACTCAGGAACATATTTACATTTAAATAAATGCAAAGACATTTACGTGGACAATTAATATCTATAAAACGTTAAAGTGTTATTTTGCGGAAACTTGCCATGGCTGCTGCATGAATGTATGTATAGAATTAATTAGCATTTCAAAATGAGAGAGATGTGTTACCGAGTATTTGTTTTACTTAATTACTGTATAAGATAAACCCTGCAAGCAAACAAAACTACCATGAATGATAAGTGTGGAATTTATTTGGTGCAATTTCCATGAACCCCTCTGCCTTTCTAATGAAATTCTGTCACATTTACGGACCTGTTCTAAACATTTTGACTGAAACATCACGAATGTTTTATTCCCAAAATTAACCCGCTAAAAAAGCAAGCGTGGACCTTACTTATCGCCTTTGGCAGTCGTAAGTCATTGGTGGAAATGCCGCATTTTTATGGCAGGGACCAGTGTGAAATGTGTAGTATATCATAAGCCATAATGCTCAAAGTAACCGCGTAAAGTACATTGAAATAAGAAATATGCATTAAGTGTCTTTCTACCCTAAAGAGTAACTATTTCCTGAAGCAGCCTAGTATGTATTTAATTTATAACACAAGCTTTGCTAATGATGCGGTAAAGTGTGTTCCGTCTTGGTTTCTTATTTGTAATGTAACCCATGTTTCTCTGTTTCTTGAAGGGGAAGAGAACCCATACATGAGATATGTGTATCCAACAATGGACAATTACAAAATATCAAATTGTATCATTTTCATACGGAAAATAAATTGTTGAAATCAGAGGGGTAAATGTTCATAGATTTCTTCAGAGATGAATCCCACCAATTATAGTCACTAGTTGCATGTACCCACACCAAATCATGCAAGCACTGACTCACTCAAGCATTAATATGAACACACAGTCCTTGTTCTATCACAACACTCTGTAGATAGACATCCAAAAAAACTTATCATTAGTTCCTCGATGACGCATACAATTTTACAAAAAAAAATTGCATACTATTCGGCACCCATCCGAAAATTGCAAGAATTCCATTGTTCTCGTACATCATTGTAGCAACAAAGTGCTGGTCTGTACTTTGACCGTGGACAGAATGTGTGTAGGACATGTGCGTTTGTTCTGGCAGTCGCAGGATGACGGCGCGTCATCCTCTATTGTCTGCCAGATGTGTGTCAGAGCGTCCGCTGTTTTTTTTTCTCGTTTCCCATCAACGTGCGCACCCACAACTCGCATCGTTGCCCGGGAGGCTGTCCTCTGACACTGCACGACCACTGTCATCGGCTTGCGCCTGCTCACCTCTCATGCCCCTCTGTGTGTTCCCTACCATAAACTACCGCCACAGACTGGGAGGACACGCACGCTCTCAACTGTTCCCATGGCCTCTGCTATTCATAACGATCACTCGGTAAAATTAAAACCATTACTTCAAATGCCTGTATGAAGAATACACATTTGATTTTATTGTCATGTTTTCTTATTCCAGACACAATCCCTATAGCTGTTCAATAATGCTTTACGCATGTTAAACTTATTGAGTTACGTTTGTGTTTTAATGCCACTATGAATTTGTATGAAGAACAAAATACTGAATGCATATACAGTAATTTCAAGTACTGTAGTTGCAACTATTTGTGCTATGACAGGCACGCACTATTTTATGATCTTTAACGTCCACTGTTCATTCGTACGCCTTGATAATAATCCCAGCAGAAATGACTCAGCTGTTAAGCATTGAAAATTGGATCCGTTCTTTAGTTAACTTTGTTTTACGTTTACCATTAGCAGCAACAACAGCAACAGTAAAACATGGAATGGGTTACCAAGGCAAATGTACCAAGTGGTCATGACGCAGTAAATGGAAATAGAGACAGAATGTCCTTTCAATAAAACAAATATATGGGATTCCACCAGCATTAACCTTGCACAGTTGAATTCCATAATTGGAGCGCGCGAACACTTTCACGCACAGAGTCACTCACCAACAAGCACGCAATCGTGGTGCCATGGTCAGAGGACACCTCCCCGGAGAGCAGAGAGGGCACGATGACTCGATGCTCTTCATCGCTCATCGCCGCGAAGTGTTTATTGTCGGCCGAGCGTCTGCCCTAACCGGGGCACCCACCCGTCTGCGCATCTTGAGACCACGATGACTAATGTGTCATTCGCTTCTTTTTCAGACTGTTTTTTTTCAAAGCTGTTTACGAGTCTCCTCTCTTTGGACGTAGTAGTCTGGGGATTCCTGTCTGGGTAATATTGCCCTGACACCCTCCACTCAGGCCAAAGGGAGTTCACTTTTATTAAAGCAGAGGATGTTGTGTTATTTAAACGAGGCAGCCAGAACCACGAGGCTTAGACCTAAATTTGGAGTTATAGCCACATTGGAATTTTAAATTTCAGTCTTGATGTCACTTTTAAATTTTGTCCCGTTTAAAATATAAAGTGCTCATGCTTCTCATATAAACATAGAGTGGCAGGGACCTGCCAACGCCCTGCCTAATCGACATCATTCTCTTGGTGTCGGTTAAATAATCAGCACCTGGTGATCAATCATTTGGTGGGACACCAACAGTAGTCATCCTACCGTCAATATGGTTACCGCCTCTGAGTAACACGGTTGGCTACGTATTGTGTGAAATAAGTTCCACAACACATACGAACGTGGAATTACTACAACTCAGAAGTGGCAGTGAAGATGAGTAATGTTACTAATTAAACACCAGTGAATTTAGAGGGTGGCGTGGAATAACAGCTGAGTCAAGAATACAGGAATGGTAATGACATTGTATCATACGTAACTGATGAAGTGGTCGACATACCTGGCAAAACTCTTGATATGAAAAGAGTGACTCGATACCGCTGCAGGCGTGTACAATATCACTGTGAGTTCACGTTACGTTAACCAAGTGGGGGCGCTATCGTTGAGCCGTACACACAGAAGACGGCATCTTCAACACATTGCGAGTGTAAAGTAGGAGCCGACACCAGATTGCAGGGGTCTCGTCCTTTATTCTTTTCCTTCTCTCCACACCTGTCCCCCAGCCGTCCCAATCTCGTTCCCGCCAAAGGCCCCTTCTTCCCGCCCGTTCTCTCCTTATATCTCTTCGATCACCCCTCCCACTAACCCATCTATTGGTGGGAATCCTTCCCCTGACACCCCTACATCACCCCCCCCCCCCGGAGAAAAAAATAACCGTCCTCGGTTCTGCCTCCCCCATGGACCATTTAAATCTCCCCATGCCTCCCCCCACTGACAGTGACGACAGCCCTTACCCCCCCCACAACCATACAA